TCTGCTATCCTTTGCTCTCTTCTCCAGTGAGGCCATCAGAGACTTGGCTTCTGCATTATCTGGGGCAAGTGCTAACGCATCTTTAACATCATAGTAACAAAGTGTGGACTATGGAAACAAAAACATCAGTCACATATATAAAGTGTAATGCATAATCAAGCATACAAACAATCAGTGATATACATTTAAATTAAACAATCTGCAGTTAAGATAGACAATAAATTAAAAAACAACACTTTGTTTGATGTTATTTTTAAAGCTATAAGAATGCAAATGACTAGTAAGAAATGCTAATAATGCTATGAGGCTTGGTAAAAATTAAATAATGCACAATACTTGCATGCACATTACCACAAGTTTACAACTTCCCATAACTAATTATGTTATGTATTATTTCGACTTTAACTTCACCAAACTGAAAATAGTTTAAGCACTACTTTTAGATTAAATCTATTGTCAGTACAGGTTTTATTTAAAAAACTTAAATGTACTTACATTTCGGAAAAGCTCATGAAGTCTGGCTCTCATAATAAACAGGTCAGGATTCTCAGTTTCTTCCTCAAGTCTTTTATTCACGAGTGCCAAACACTCTCCATGTCGCTGAAGAGCAGCCAGGCAAGCCACACTAGAAAAGAAAAGACTCCCAATTTTTACCCCTCTTAAAATATTAAAATTACCATTAAATGAATGTTAATCTGCACGATTGCATGTTAGCTATTGCTTCTTGATCTACCTTTGGCTGTAGATTCTATCATCTCAAAGTAAACTATATGCGTAAATGGCTGAATTGCTCTGACAATCTTTTTCTGACTGTAAATTTTTTGTGTTTCACTCCCAATCAATGCAGCACTACAGTTTCCTTTCAAATTATCCCCTTAAAAACTGATAAAATGTAAGTATATGCAATAATTATTTAGATAATTTGTAAAAGTATGCCAAAGAGGTCTATTCAAATGGTCACACCATAAAATCAAAAATTAGAATTTGAGTTACTGAATTGTTTCAGTGTAAGAACAGGTTATAACAAGATCATTCATCACTCTTACTCTGCCTTTATGGAGGATTAAATCCTATGGTGTCACCATTTAAGTGACACCTCTTTGGTACAACTTTTGCACAGTGCCATTCATTTCTAGGGATTTTACAAAATCAAGGAACTTGACATCTGAATGTTTTGTGACTTTTTATCTTTTGCCACTAATTCAAGTGAAAAAGTTAATACCAATTTATTATCATTGATTTCAGGAGAGAAAGATTACATTACCAAATGTGCGGCAACCACTAATCTAAGATCACAGAGAGAGCCCAGTAAAACAGGAACATGGGCATTTACCTTCTGGTATGATAGCCAATAACCTCTGGCTTCATTTCCGCAGCTCTTGAAAAAGATTCCAAAGCCTCTCCGTAAAGCTTTTCATCAAATAAACATTGTCCTTGAAGAAAGTACAGAAACGCTAATCTGGAATATGTCTGATCATTGTCTGGGTCTAATATACATGCTTTCTTGTAGTTTAAAATTGCTGATTGAAAGTCACAGATCTGCAAGTAACTTTCTCCTCTTGAAATATAATTTTTAACAACTTCTGGTTTGAGAGAAATAGCCTTGTTGAAACAAGATATGGCTTGATTGTGTTCATTCCTTTCAGCTAGACTTGAGCCCTCAAAAAAGCTGAAAATAAAAGATAGCAAAACCTGTATCAGATCATACACCTGTAAGTAAACAAATTTTATACAAAGCCTCATATTTACTATAGGGTAGCTAATCGTATATAGGTAACTGACCAAGCTTTATTTAAGACAGTAGCCTAGGTTTCTTGGACATCTTTAATACTACAGCAGGAAACTGGTCACCTTTTTATACAAAGTTGTTTTGATACATGTAATTCAATACACACTCAAGCAGCAAGAGTGGACAACAATTTCTATCACTTCAAGTCTAGTTTCCTCGTAAACAAGAAAAGCATTTGCAATGAATGCCATATTTATTCGGCTATAAGCTGAGCGATTTTTATACAAATTAAAGCTTAAGTTACGGTTTTCTTTGTTCTTTAAACCAAGTACGTGAAGCTATCTAAGCCTTGACTGCATCAACTTGTATCAAAAGGATCAGCAAGCTTACATTCTATTGCCACCTGTAATCTAAAAAACTTCACCTGCTTGAAAGTAGATTATTAAAGTAGGGCTGTCACTAAGATGATTTGTAAGCACAACACTTTGCATTAATACCATAAATGATATTTCAGAATAGTTTTAAGCTGTAATTCGAGGGCCCTTTGCTGGGCGCAATTTCTCACAATTTTGAAAATTACCAGTGGTATTTATTCAATATGCTGTTATTTGTTCATATGTACCACAACTGCAATAAATAAAAAAACCTGAGAAAATGTCCCCAAGTTTTACAAGTGGATACGTTAAATCAAGGTGTAGCATAGCTGATCTCAGCCGATAAAATTGCAGAAATTTCTGAGGTATCAGTATAATATGGAAGAAGTTTATTTGATTAAGTTATCTTGGCCTGCAGACTTACTGTTCTTCAGCTTTTGTGTCTATCACTGTTTCTGTAGTCAAAATTACAATGGATTTTCGCCGGTACTGTGAATGCGGAGTATTTGTGGTTGGAACCAGTTCAGCCAGTCGAAAAGAGTTCACGATAGTATTTCTTCTCCGTCGAATTTCCTTGGTAACTTCGCGGCTATAAAGGCTGGCGGCTTCATTTCCACTGTTCTCGTCCGACTCCGAAACATGTTCATTTCCTTCAAATACTACGACTGGTTTTGTAGGAAGTTCACAATCGTTCTGTTCATTGTCGTTATCACTTCCTTCTAATCGTTTTCCTGGTGTATTGCTCGGCATCTGATGGAATCAAGTGTTTTTATCTGCAATTATTTTCACGCCACTGATCTACGCTGCAGCAAGCCATTTTGTTTTGTTTCATTGGCAACGGAAATACGATACTGCTCTTTCCCTCTGGTATCGCTGGCTCAGACTTGAATCTTCCCCAGTCCCTCTGCAACATCACAGCGAACCCAGAAGCTCCCAGAGGAAGCGTTTGGGGGGTACAAATAACAAATGTCAGTTGTCAGCCATTTGTCAGTTGTGAGTTTTAAGTTTAGGCCCATTGTCAGTAGTCAGTTAAATGGTTATGAACAATTTTAGATTCGAAATTTAGCTAAAAAGCCCATACAGTATAATGTAAATTAGTAAAATCCAGCTAGTGGTCTATTATCAATGCTGCATTCTGATTGGTTGAGCTACTACTAAAGTACATGTTATAGCCCACTAGCAGCGAAAAGCGCCGGCTTTTTGGCAGCAAAAAAGGATTAAAGTCTAGCTTTAACTAGCTAGCTGGGCTATTGACTCAGAGGCCATGAGGGCGAGAGGAACAATTGTTTTGTGTTTTGTGTTTTGAGTTATGTGTCACATGATTTGAGGCGATCTGGGCTGTTAACCGGACATGAATTAAGTCTTAGAGATAGTGGGGACGGTGCAAAGAGACGGTGAACAGAAAAATCACCGCGGGGGATGGGGTAGGGGGTTACGGGCAATGTTCCCTCCTTAGTTCCACCTCCATCTGAACGCTTGAAATGGGCCTGGGGCTAGTTCATTTGTTTTCGCTGGCAAAACTGTAAAATATAAGAAAGTTATTATAAAGACGAACCTTCATACGCGACCTCCTTTCGTCAGCGATGTACTCCAGTAAGTGACCAGCTAAGTTTCCACAACACTAAAATTTTGGCGGTTAATGACGTGAACCATGCCGTGTGATTTGGTCAATATTTTTTGACGCAGTAATAAATTACTATCACATTGTCAAGGATGGGGTGCTTGATCAGGACATTGACTCATGAGTTAACTATATTGTTTAAAACAACTTCCTTATTGTCATGAAGCATCGAGCATTCACATCCTTTGCTAATATCAGTAATGGCAGAGAGCGAATACGCGGACGTTCGTGAAAGTGGTCAACCGCGAGAAGGAGCGACATTCTTCTCTTCAAGTATTACTTCTCCTCGCCACGCGGGTAGCGATTTTCACGCTTGCGATGCTTGCTATCTTCCTCTCGCTCGCTGTAGAAAGGAGACCACGACTCCTCGTCTACCGTTCTTTCACCTTTAGGTAAGTTTCTAAACGATTCGTTGCCATTACCATAAAATATTAAGATTATTAGTATTTGCTACTATCATTTATTAACACTAAAATGATTGAATGATTGACAATATCTCTCGCTAGGAGACCTAGAACAAAATGAACTTTTCCCCAAAAGTAAATCTTGAGGTTTTGTTGTGCCTTAACGTTTAATTATGGTCAAGTGACATGTCACGTGACAAAAAAAAATTGGAAATGAAGGAAATTGGCGAATTGATGGCGTATTTACTTTGTTTGGATAAACAAATTCGCATTTCTGAAAGACAATAAACACGTCTAACTTTCTACGTTTGGAATTAATGTACACGAAGTTTAAAATTGAAGTTTAAAATAATTCAAGATTAAATTGGGCATTTCAAATGGTGTGAAGTGCAATAGACGGTCATTCCAAACGTTAAGTGTTAGAAATATTTAATATGAATGAGAAAAATGTTATTGCTAGATTTCTTTTCTTAAACCGGCCCCCAATTGGTCAATAATTTACGATTTTTGGCAAATGGTCACGTGACATATCATGTGACCTATTAACACCATATTTATACTTTAAATGTCACGGACGATGAGTTCTTTATGTGTGCCACATTTTGATTCAGCGCCATCATCTATGCCAAAGTTATAGCCAATAATTATTCATTTTCCACAGGTAAACCCCTTAGTCCCAGGCATTAATTAAAGTACTCGAGTAATCAACCCCAACCCCGTACATTGACTTCCCAAGTTTTGAGCATAATATAAATACTAAATACTCAGCAATACTTTCCATATGCTATCTAGTTTTTGATAAAATAACAGAAGACCAACACCTCCCCAGATAAATCACCGCTGTTTTTAAAGTCACCACTGATTAAAAAAGAAGTAACCTGCTTCGTTGGCAGCGACAGTGAATTCATCATCATCATTGTTAAATTTCAGAGATAGGTACTCAATAAGCTAATCTTTTCAATAACCTTGCCTGAAATTCATCCGATTGTTTCGAGTCGTTTTCTCCGTAATCGGATGAAATTCAGGCTATTCAATAACCCAGAAATTAATGTTTCCGTTAGAATGGACACTTGAATATTTTATAGTAGCTTTTCAAATTTTCCTTTCTTTTCGTTTCTTTCGAGTATCTAATGTTAAGTTCTCACTTAAGCCCTGATCTTTCATATCAGATCCCAAATTTTCAAGTGTAACATATGACCCACATATTGTGTAGTTTTTAACAGTATTTTTAAAAACCTAACTCAGTTTCAGTACTTTGTGTACCACTGATTTTTTATCCTGCGAGCAGAGGTTTCTCTCTTGCATGTCTTTTAGCGTTTAATTACATCAAATTCAATACGCGAACGACTTTGTAAAAAACCTCTGCTCGCAGGGTACAGTATTTATTTTAACCCAGTCAATGATCAATTCATTTTATTGTTTGTTTTAACTTTCTGTTTGTCTTCGGAGGAATCCCTGAAAACATCGCTACATGTTATGGAACCTTCCAACACATAAAGATTCTTATTATGTCTTATTATAATGTTCGCTAGTTGGAGCAGAGTTAAGTTATAGTGCAAACTACTGTTTACTTTCTGCTGCTTCTTGAGAATCGTTGTGAAATACATCATATCCTCTTTCGTATGGAAATGGCAAAGATATCGGAATTTCCACCATTCGTGGATAAAGAGTTGGTGAACCACGTACAATGGTTGAACAGAATCGTTCCCAGTCCACTGGACCTTCAACACCATACCCCTCCGGTCCAACAACGCCAATGAGAGGCCAGGCATCGGTAGCACAGTACTGAGTGAAGCACACTCGTCTTGATTGTGTCGAGTTGTTGGGTCCTGAAGCATGCGCAGTGCGCACATGGTGAAATGACGCACCGCCGGCTGGAACTTCAACATGCACAGCTTTACTGGAGTCAAAGGACGGATCTTCTATTGCTGACACAAAAGTGCCGTCCTTAAAGTGAGAAAGGATTGGCTGTTTATGAGTTCCAGGGACGACTTGAAGGCAGCCTTTGGGAGAAAGTAGAGTTGAATTGTTTTAACATAGAGCCTTAAAAGGGCATGTATATATAAGGCCTTCCTATAATCATGTAGCCAGCGAACGATCGATACTCAGTCGCTAGAAACAGAAACTAAAACTGGCGTCAAAGGAAAGGAAAACTTATTGTCGCTGTTTCATTTCGATTTCAAGGATTATGACTTAGAATAATTATGCAACAATGTTTAATTTTAATTTGCTGTACGGCAACCCCACACTAAAGAGAGTGACGCGATAATGTATTACACAGTGCACGCTATATATTACACGGGGGTGGATAAAAAAGCTTTTCGTTAACCGTCTTCCTTCAAATCTGACAGCTTACTTTACGAAGCGAAAGGGTAGCGTAGCTCATAGCCTGAGAAAACAGCCGACATTTTGCGACGCTACCACTGGTTTTTGCCGCGAAATGACGTCTGAGCGACGACTTCAGAAATTCAATACTGATGACATATCACTACTCAGTTCTGGGAGGTGCTTTTCATTGGTCGTGCCTCTAAGGATATTTGCTTCAACCAATCAGAAGAGCAACCAAATCTGGGTAATGACGCGTCATCAGTACGGAATTTCTGCGCTCGTTCCTCGGACGTCATTTCGTATAGCCCGCGTAGCTTGACGGTTTTGTCGTTGCGCGCCCGACCCGAACCGCCACGCTACGCAGGCTACATTTCATAGGGAAACCAAAGGTGGCGTGGCTAAAAGTCGGCTATTTTCTTAGGTTAGAGCGATTTTCGTATGACCTTGAAAAATGGTTTCGGCAAGTGTTCGTTATTTGTTTTATTCAGCCAATGGATGAAAAGATCAAAACATGGCCTCTTCGTTTTCCCGCCAAAGAAAACCCTAATATGGAGAACTCACTGTTCGACTGGCCAATCGTGTTGCAGTATGACGTCAAAGCGAAGTAACGGATGATTTCTAGAAAGTTCTCAGGCGCGAGGTTTTTCACCCGAGCGTTCGTTTAACCAAACAAAAGCCACGCGCGTTTGTATCCGTTCGATAAACCAATCAAATCGCTCTATTGCCGTTCGTTTGTTGTTTCTGTTTTGTTCGCGCGTTTTCATTTAAAGGTCATACGAAAATCGCTCTACCTAGCTTTCTGTTGCTTACCATTTTCTTTGGTGGAGTCATCCACAGCCAAGCCAACGGTAACAATGCTTAGTAAACACACCCCTTCTTTACGGGTCTCTTGGTGCCACTTGATTCCTGAGGAGCCGTCTTCCCCGGGGAATTTCATGTGAATTTTTTCTTGCATTATGTAACGGATCGAAGGGCTGTCAACCTATTTATTAAAAGGAAGTGTTAAAAAGATCAAAGTGACAGAGATTAAAAGGGTGCGTAGTAAAAATGTGGGGGTCATATGACGCACTAGACGCAATAGATATGATCCTTATGATAAATGGGGATGCTACCTACGTTAATTGGCGTAAAACTAAGAAACGGGAGCCGTAAGAAAAGCTGACAGAAAATATGAAAGGGAAAGTTAATAAAGGAAATTGGAAATTTTAGTCCCTGAATGGGATTTGGATTGTATAAGGAGACCATCGGTGACATATTGAAGACTTTCTTTATTTCTGCCAAACTTAATTTTAAAAAAGTGGAAATCATTCTGCATGTTCTGTTTAATCTACAGTTATGCCATTCTCCTAGTAAAACCTACAAAACCTTGTCTTCTATTTCTTTCACAACGAAAAATTGAAACTGATTCGAATTCGGTTCCTATTGCATTGGGCCTGGGTACAGTGGGAGAAGGTATCGTTGGTGTAAGTTTCCTATAAAAACGGTTCTTAAGTCAAAATTTCCAACAACAATTTTTGAAATGGATCAGCCCTGTCATCATGTAGCGTCGTATCAGCGGTTATATGACTGACACTTTGTAGTTGAAATACCTATAGGTCTTCGATGGGCAAATTTTGTGCTACGAATACTGCCTTACGGTACACAGTTAAGGCCGGCAGCTGACAAGCGATGACAATGAGACTTGCATACATTTACTATCCGTGACATTTTCTATGAACAAAAAAGAAGGTAGTATTTGTCATGATAACTTCAAAAGCCTGTAGCAACACATAAAGGTTTTCTTACAATACAGATGTTTATAAAATGTCAGACACCCCTTATAAGTTTCTGAAAATATCTAATATAATACGCCCGATCGTTCTGATTGACCAATGAAAAGCCTATCATTCATAACTGGGTAGTAGGTTGTTTACCATTTGCAAAATGTCGCCGGAAGATCTGGTCGGAAAGTTAGGAACATGACTTTTCGGATCGTTTTAGTGGAAGATTTCCGGGACTCTTGATTTCCTGGTCGGAATGTTCCAAACGGAAATTAGTGTTCCATTTCTTCAAAGCCGTCATTGATACCAGTTTCAGCGTTTGCTTGCTGCTTCGCGGCCGTTTTTCCTTAAATAGAACTGGTTTGTGCAAATGGTAAGCGAGATTGCGGGAGGAAATTTACCAGTCCTGAATTTTGCTTACCAGTTACTCAAACCGTGAACCAACCGGTTTGCCCTTGTAAATGGTAAACAGCCATAGAAAAACAAAAACTTCGCAAATACCAGTTGTGAAATGACGTCTAGAAGTTTCGGATGTCGTAGAGCTTTGTTCCAAACGGGGTGAATAAGCGATGGACAGATGACACGTGACCGTTTCAAAAGCGACCTGGTGGATGAATGACCTTCCTCCAGCATGAAGTACTTGTCGGATTGGGTTTTACTTTTGCTCCTGAGGGATACAAGAAGTGAAGACATCCACGAGGAACAGTCACTACATCGATTTTTTTTCTGATAAATTATAGGAAGGACGTAAGTAACTCACATTTCAATCAGCTCATCTGTAGCGTCAATAAGTTCCTTCTTTTCTTCCTCACTCAATATGTCCGTAACCACAAGGTAGCCATCTCTCTCATACTAAAAAAAAGCAGTCTCCTTTTTATTTCAAATTTTTTAAAATGCAACTAAGAAGTTGGACCCGCACTTTTGTATAGGATAAAATTTTTGTAACATTGGTGGGCCTGGGAAACTTATTTGTCACGCAATCATATAGTTGTTACGCCACTTTCGAGTTCGAATTTCGAAAAGATTTCAACACAGCCCCCAAATTTCTCACAACTTCTTTCGAAAACATTATGGATGTTAAAAAGGTAAGAAAGGGAAAGACAATAAGACAAACATCTCAGAATATTGTACGTAATGGCTGCGGTATAGCCTGATTCTTTTTACCGGACAAGAAACATAAGTTGACGATCGCTGTCGCCGACAGCCCAGTTAAATTTCGAACAAAGTTATTTGAGTATAATTTTTCAGCAAATATGTAAAATCTTTGAGAATCAATCTGGTCTGAATCACAAATTGTCTTAAAACAAAGAAGAAGAAGAGAAAAACGCAATTCGAAGCACCCTGCGCTAAAAGAGATTCTTGCGTGAGTGTGATTGTGCACGAAAAGTAATAATTTAAAACCCTTACCTTGGCTTTATCATCCGCATGTAGTTTGAAGAAGGAACTGTTTGTATCTACTGAGTTACTACTTGAAAATCGGCTAGCAATCGTATATTTTAAACGCTTTATACAGCGGAGCTTTGCTGCAGACGAACGAAACGATGCCATACTGCCAAGGTTGTGTTGCGAAATTATCATGCACGCGTCACGCGTCACGCTTTAGCGACTTCATCTTGTCAACACTTCATTTGTTTCAGTTTGTGTACCGGTATTGTGAATCAGGTGAATTGAGCTGAATAGGGGCGCGGAGCGAGAAAGGCAGAAGGGAGGGGATAGGACACTGACTCTGACAAGCTTTCTTATCCTCGACGAGAAGGCGTTCAACTGCATTTGTCTAAATAAACAGAACACAGAGGTTAGCTGACGGCCGTGGAACTCTTTCCACGGGCACTTGCCTGGTATTTTCTCAGAAGCCTATGGTATTTCCTCAAGGTGGGGCTTACAATTGTCGACCGGCGATAGACAGAGTCTGGCTGGGGCAAGGGGACGTTGTCATTACTTCGCACTAGTGGTAGTCTCAGTAGAGGAAACCGAGGATTGGCATCTCCAGTTTTGAATAAGCGCCTTTTTCTAATAAGCTCTCCTCTCCAAAATTCCACTTCTAGTACCAAGTCTAGCTGCAACGCAGGGGAACGCAGGCTAACATGTTCTCAGAAAAAAGTCCTTTGGGTGAGGGGGGGGGGTGTGGGTACTATGTACCTCTCCTCTGAATATATACTAGCCTGATTCTCAGACCTCCGAGGTCGTTCGCGGTCCCTTCGATTTTCTCCCTGAAGCGAAAGGCACCGCTCGGCTCCCTTCGCTCACCAATATTTTTCCTATTTGACCCTGTATTTTGCCTTTTTCCCAGGTCCCAGGCGACCCAGGCTACAATAGATCATAAAGCACCTGTCGTGCAGGCTATTTGTGCAGGCTACTACCGAAAAACTGCCGAACAGGAGACTGTTCGGCCAATCAGCATCAATACCCACCCCGGATTGCGACGTGGTTACTAAGCCGCACATGGTGGACTGTGATGTTTTGATGTGGACGCTTTGAGATGGGCTGATAAAGGGAGTCATAAGGGACATTTTGATGGCAAATACCTTAATTGCACTTCTTTTATTCGAATAAGGTAAGTAAGGTACCTTTTAAGTCTCCAAAGTATAAGTTTCTGGAATATTTTTCGTCAAGAAATGTGGAAAATCGTCGAATGCCTGCAAACGCGCGATCGCACCATTTGCCGCAAGTTTATGCGGGAATGCAAATAAGCATTAGTCTTGTCACGGTGTAAGTAGAATTTATGACGAAAATACTATTAATGGTCAAGAAATTTATTAATTGTCGAAACTTTTTCTGGCTGTAGCTGTTCAGGTATAAAGACCTTTATATGAGCTGTTATCTGACGTTATCTGTCGTGACAATGCGCCATTATAACTGAAAAATTTATATAAAAGCTTACGTGCACAACAAGCATAATCACAAATAAACTCCGTTGCAGCAATTCATCTTTATGTTTTCCAATCATTCGAGAATAGGTACTTGGTCATGTTTTAGAAGAGACTAATGTAGAGCTTATAAACCTCTGTTTAGGAGAAATCCTCTTTTAAGGGGCAAGTAATAAACAGAGGGTCAGTTTACAGTGATTTGCTGATAATTTTGTGCGCTGGGACGCTGGAAACTTGACTTCTAAAGAGGAAGACTGTTCAACTGAAGTTCATTGGTTTTTTAACCATGCTTAGTTTCCCAATGGCTCTTTCTTGTATTTGCAATTGTAGACTTAAGCTTTCTGTTTTCTGTAGATCTTGTCTGGCGTTTGCCTAAAACCTGGAGTATGGAAACCCCAAGCCGAATGCTGAATGACTCTAAAGCTTGGTGGAGAGGGTTAGGAAACTGAGTGAATCAGGTCCATTTAGGGTTATTATGCTGGGCAAACTGACCTGAAACTTGATTCACTCAGTTTCCTAACCTTAATCATTAAACTTCAGTGGCATTCAGCATTCAGCGTGGGGTTTACGGATTCTGGGTTCTAGGCAATTCCTCCTATCTGAGATGTAACCTCTTGAAAACCATTGGATATAGCAGTTATACTGTGCCCTTTAAAACAGCTTATTTCCAATTACAAGGCTGCTGCCTAAGAAAACTTTCCGGGAGCCCTTCAGGCTCCTAAGATAAAAAGTTAGGAGTCTGAGCTGACCGATCAACAAACTTCAAATTTATTAGGGCATAAATAGTAGCATAGTTAAGGCTCAGCTAAAATTAAAGGGAAAGTCTCCTTTTTTGCATTTGTAAATTTCTTTTTCTCAACCTAGCTTAGGGTACCAGAGGCTTTTTTACCTTTAGTCTGCATATCAAAATGCCGTCCAGTCATGGTTATCATTAAGATCATTTGCATAAAATGAAATATGGCTGGCCCCAATATTGAACCCTGTGGTACCCCAAATTGCATGTCAGTCAGTTCAAATGTTCTATCATTCACTTGTACAAACTCCCGTCTTTCCCCCGTGTAACTTAGAATTCAGTGTTGAAAGAGCTTTGGGAAACCCATTTTGTGCATTTTTTTTCAAGAATCCTGGTGTGATTGACCATGTTGAATGCCTTTGAGAAATCTGCAAATACAGCCATAGTTAGTCCACCTTTCTTCATAGTTTGGATGATGTCATCTCTGAAGCTCAGTCATGCCGTTGTTTTTGAATGACCTTTTCTGTAGCCAGATATCTTTTCATTAAGTATGCGGTTTTGGTTCATTTGTCAGCAAAAAGCTTTGAATGTCTTTCAATTTCCAATTTTAATGCCAGCATTTACGTTCACATTGAAACTTCTCATCAGGGCTGTTATATTTAAGAGCCTCTCCCAGCAACTATGAACATGGTCCCTGGCTACTTTTGTAGGAAAATAGAAGAAAAACAGAACCAAAAGAAATCCTTTGGTGTTTGATTCCCTGCCTACTTGTTGTATTTACCCGTTAACTTGAAATCTTAGTGACAGCCCTGCCCCATTTATTACAGCAGCTGTAGAAACTTGCAACTGTGTTTGTTACCTCTTATCCCTTACAGGCTATAAAGTGCATTTCTGAAAAGATGCAAAGTCAACATGGATCCTGCTAAGTCAGATAACAGACCTCTTCCAGCAGGCTGGATATGCCGACTGTCCAAATCACGAAAAAAGCAATATTATTTCAACAAAATTACTGGAGAATCCAGCTGGAAGCACCCACTGGATATTGATGTGTTTTCTCCTGTAAGTTACAATTAAATTTGTCTTCACTCGTACACTGTAAGTTGCATGTATTAATAAATAATTTAACATTGTGTTCATTAAAATTAGTCACGGAACACCATGTCATTCCACAAAATATTATTTGTGTGCTAGTCTAATGGGAAACTTCAGATATTTCAGGAGTTGTTTGGGTTGTTGTTGGAGGTACATGTAGATGTGCTGTGCATATACTTCAAGGATGAAAGTCTTGGTATAATAGGAGGATTCACCGTAAACAATTTGCAGTTGTACATATGTACATTAATGTAGTTTGGACAGGACAGGACTTTTTTTTTCAATCCTTGGTCTTCATGCTACAACTGATGTGAGTGTTGTATTAAAAAGTATGTACGTGGAAGCTAAGTTCTTAAGCATTGGAATTTGTCCTTGAAACGTCCTTGAGGAAAAGAGAAATAATTTACCTATTCCAAGAGATGAAAATTGCACGAGTTATTCCATTGTTTAAATCTCGTGATAAATCTTTGTTCACAAATTACAGACCCGTATCAGTGTTACCAGTTTTCTCTAAATTCCTAGAGAGAATCGTCTACAATCGCCTCATTAATTTTTTAAATAAATATGATATTCTTTCCCGGAATCAGTATGGATTCAGAAAAAATTATTCTACTGCACATGCTTTAATCCAATTGTATGACAAGATCTCAAATGCACTTGATAATAAAAG